GTCAGCAAGGATGCACCTCGCCTGCTGAAAGGAAGCCCTTCCAGTTGGCAAGGATGTACCTCGCCGGCTGGAAGGAAACCCTTCCAGCCGGTGCCTCCCGGCCCTTTATAGGGCGGGTATCCGAGGATACCCGCTTGGATACCCGCTAAGGCGGAAGGATATCTGCCAGCGGCTGCAACTTTGGATGTGGATGGTGTTTTCCCCGGAAAAAGCAGCCGTATATACGGATGCGCCGGGGCCATCTCTAGGTTTTGAACACCATGGATTTTTTTTGGAACGTTTTTGATCAAGAGTGTAAAGTATGATTCATGTACTTATGACTACACTCTACAGCAGATATTTTGGTTTCTTGAAACAAAAATCAAAAATTGTGAGCAAAAGAAAACAAAAAACAAAAAAAAACCAACTCCCCAAAAGCCTTTTTTGGCCTATGGGATAGCATTGAACTTAATACAAGTCCCCCTGGTGGGAGGCTCGCTGGTGTGACTGGCTGGGCGCAAAGCGTCCTCTCCCGCAGGGAGGGACTTGAAACTTAGAACGCTTTCCCAGTGTGAGGCAGAAACACGGTTTTGGTGGTGGCGACCTTGTTTGCCCCACCACTCATTCATTACAACTCAAATTTATTTTTAGTTCATGTGGATGAAAGATCTACATAATCCAGATTTTTGTACATTTTTTTTTTCATTGCAAAAACCAGTTTGGTTCTAGTAGAAAACATGCAATGAAGTTCATGATTTTGAACTTTGATTTGCAAATTTGGCAGAGAGGCTTGAGCACACTCTCAGTATCAGCATATTTTATGCCTGCAAAATGAGAATTTGTCTTTTTTCTGTTTGTTCTTTTAAAAAAGATTGGTATGGAAATAAGAATATGAAAAAAATACAGAAAGATCAAGGAGATGTCATAGGACAAGAAAAAAAGCACAATGAAATTTTGAGAACAATAACATCAAAAACAGAGGGGAAAATACAAAAAAGGACCTCAAAATCATGCCTGCCTCACACAAGCTTTGAGTAATAGTATGTAAGCCTCTCTGACAAGACTGGGCTGCCGCCCAGACCTGCCCGCAAACGACTCTCGTCACAAGAGGATTAGTTAAGCTCGGGATAGCATTGAGGGTGGGAAAATCAGTACCACTCAGCTATCTGCTATTGCACAGTGAGGGTCTGCACAGAGCCTAACATCAAAGAAAACGGACATTTGAATGAGAAAATGGGTTTTTAACTTTTTATTAGCTCAGCCAAACATTAAATCTTTTGATACGAAAAAACCCCTGGATCTGCTGTACCTCTCAAGGACTGGACTAGTGAAGCATCTGTCAACCCAATCTTTGTAACACTTCTCTGTGCAACTCAGCCACACATGGATGCACACATATTGAAATCAGCTCAAACCAGTTTGAACAAAGAAACTGAGGAGAGACTAGACAGAGGAAAGAGAATCAGCAGAGTCAAAACAAGCTTTGTTTGATCCGGTATTTCCAAATATGTAAGCATCAAAGAAAATGATCCAATCGATGTTTTAGAGATCTTCAACCCACAAGACAAGAAACAAACAATGAACAATAACAGGAACTAATTGACATCATAACGCAGATCACATCAATTGCTCTTTTTTTTTTTCTGCACAAGAGATCCTTAACAAAACAACAGAAAATTTTTCAAACCAAACCCCAAAATTCGTCCAGAAAAGCAAGGACCAAAAAACAAAAAAAAAGAAAAGATGCACAGCAGAGTTACAAGGGAGGAGGTACTTGACAGGGGGGGTTTTGATTTTTTGGTTGACCTGGATGGATGAATATGTTATCGTAGATTAGTGCCCCAAGTCGGAAGTTCTTGTTGGGCCTGAACATCGATCCCACTAGAGACCCCCCCCCCAAGAAAAAAAAAGAAAAGTGATAAGTGTTAAGGAGGTTATGAGATCGCGGAAGAAGAGTAAAGAATGGACTGACGGAGCCGGTCTTGACGAGGATTCGGAGCCGGGCTCTTCGTCGGATCGTTTCCGTCGAATGTTCGGTCGATCAGGAGTCGGATTATGGAACTGGGCCATCGAACGAGTCGCCTGACAGATCGGCTCGTACGCCTACATCAGATTATCATCATGTGTCACCCAGGCCCAACCGTAACATTCATCTGGTCAATCTCTACAGAGACGTCTCTTTCAAGGCGGACATGTGGCCCGGGTGTTCACTGCTGGTTCAACTCACATCTAATTGCTGCAGAAAGCCGATGTTGGGAGAGACACAGAATCGCCGTGATTGCACAAAACTAAAAGTCCCATAGGATCGAATTATATATCTATAAGTAAATGAGTTTGGGAGAAGAAAAAAAGAAATGAAAGGCTCGAGTGCTTAACTGGAATGCAGTTTCAGACGACACGTTGTAGCTCGCCATGACATATGCTGTCCTAGAACAAAAAAAACGTGAGCATGAAGCTTCAGTCAGCGACCCCAACAAGTCTTTGAATTTTTTTCCAGAATGGCTGGTGTGGCGGATCACATTATGGCCGGTGACCGGCTCAGACCATCTCCGCAATGTACGAGCACTCTTCCATTCCGTTGGAGGGCTGTATCTATGAACTCTTTCGCTCTGATAATCCATCGTTAGAAAAGAGAAAGAGCATTAGAATGGCCGTCAACTGATTGGGTTATAGGAATAAGAGAGATTTTTTTTTTCTTTAGTACCAAAACGAGAACGCAATTTCACTAACGAACCTTGGGAAGATTGATATGAGGTGTTGGTCTGTCGCGTCGCGAATATCGAGAGTCAAGTAATTAAACCGATCGGGAAAGCGGGGTCTGAACAGATGACTGGTAATCCATACACACCGAAAATCAACCGCACTGACTCCGATCGGGCCGAGCTTCCGCTTCCTCCAGAAAAAACAAGAAAAAAAACGTACGCTTCTCTGGATTCCGAGATACAACAGATGTCCGTGATTCCGTGTGTTTCTAGACTGGCTAAATCCCGGCTGGCTTGGTAAGGTCCGAGATAAATCGAGGGCAAGATTTGTTGCGCCTCTCGTCTCATTTCATATCTGTTTTTTTATTTATTTCCAAAAGAAAATCAGAATCTACTATTATCGCAGAGAGCGATAGGAAAAGAAACGAAGAAGACTGACTGCCAATCGATAGGTGGACCTAGATCATTAAGAACCTGCTCGGGCAAACTAGTTGACATTTTCTTCTTCTTTGGGGTTTTGGGTGGGTTTGGGAGACGCTTATAAAGCCGAGATGATGAATGACGTTTCTTGGAGAGTTGAATATAATCGACTTGCAGCTAACGATTGAGCGGTTCTGGTGATCGATTCGACTAGAGGATTTTCTTCTTCTTCTTTTTTTTTCGACTAGGGGTTTTTCTTGTTGATTGAATCGAGCAGGTGGATGTGTCAATCAACGTAGATGGTTTCCGAGCTTGTTGTGGCGGATAACTTTGTTTCGACTAGTGTGGCCCAACTACTCAGCACCCTCTCACCCTTCTTAATTTTTGCCACATGAAGATGCCCCAAGAGGGCAAGAAGGGGGTATCACTGCTCACGCTGTTCTGAAGAAAAAGTTCTTCTTGGTGATGGAAGAGCATGAAGCTGTCCACCATCCATATATGCACAACTTACAAGACTCAGACCCATCAAGAAGGCATTTAAAATCACACACTTGGAATGGAACTCCAAAAAGAAGCCCCCAATCCTTTCTTTAGTACTCAAACAGGCAAAGACAGCTCTAGTTCTCAGATGATAACTGATTTACATGTAGTAAGCTCTCAGATGGCTGTTGCTCCCTCTTGTTATGGTTCCACTTCAAACAAATCAAACGTGGGGATTGTGGGGTGAAGAGAGAAGAGCTCCACATCTTTTACAAGTCTTTTGGTCCACATCATCATCACATCTGATGAATTTTCCCACTATTGCTGATCATGATGAATCCCACCTCAATCCCACACAAAAGGAGGACAGTACATTCCTCATGTGACAACACCCAGTGAGCAAAAAAAAAAACATTCCAGATTCTTGTATTTTCTTCTCACTTGGTTACTTTGGAGCAATGATTTTTTTACAGATCTGTCCATTCATAATACTTTTAGGCCCTGTTTATCAGGGCAATGTAAAGTGATGTAAATGTGCTGATGCAAGTCTGAAATACATGTCATGTGGAAATGTGTTACAGGCACAATTGAATGTGCTGATGCAAGTCTGAAATACATGCCATACGCAACTGTACCAACAATGTAACTGATGCAATGCATGCATAGGTATTGCATCGTATTGGGCCTTTATTGCATTGCATTGTGAGGGCGATGTGGGGCCCCGCATTGCATCACTTGCATTGGATTCTTCGATACAGTGTATCAGTATCACATGGGCAAAGCGATACAATGTGATGCACTATAATTTGGTAGCATCAGTTTGCATTGCTCTCCAATACGATGCCAATGCAATGCATTGCTTTTTTGATGTGATGCCAATGCAATGCATTGCTTTTTCAATGCAATACCGATACATGGCTATTTATTGCATTGCATTGCATTGTTTCACCATTGGTGCTACAGGCACAATTGGGGATTTCCCAAATGGGGCCTTAGGCCTAACTCTGTTGATCATTAAAGAGCATCATATTTAAAAGAACAAGGATATAAATATTGGACATCAGTTTCAAACAACAAAAATCAAAACACAGAAAAAAAAAGTTGCTTGAATGCCAAAACTTTCATTGGCTAGATAATGAGACCAGTTTTCAGCCAACCTGTGCCCAGAATTTCTTGAAATATGAGCTTTGGATGGGATCAGAGAGAAAGCAAATGGCAGCAAACTTATACAATTTCTACTGGAACGGACATGTGGGGCAAAATGAAGGAGGAGAACAGATGAGGATTGATTTCATTGTAGTGTACTAGGCTAGACTTAAAGTAGACTATGCACAATTCATCAAGCTGTGGTTGTAAAGATAACCAATAAGAAAGAACTAGTGTCTAAGGGCAGATTTGCCGCCTGTCCATGTCATAGGGCAACTTTGCATCTACTATATTTTTGGTCAAACCAAAACACAATCTACAGATTAAAAGCAAACAATATATCGTTTTAGTCTAAACCATTGAGAATTTATTCTGATTGGCTTTGAAATCAACGATAGCTTGCTCCTCCGCCCAATGTAAAGCCCCACAATCCAAACATTCAATATTACAGGGTAGAGATTGTTTGTTCGGACCTGGGTACCTGTTCATTTTTTCAAGAAAATAGATACCATGTACCACACCAGACACCTCCTGGGGGGTACCCAAGGTACCCGTTGCAGGGTACCTCAGGTACCCGCCCCTCTCTTTTTCACCTAGTTTTCACTCCCAGAGTCCCAAGTCACTTTATTATGATTATTATTTATTTTCATATTTATGGTAAAAATATCTCTCACAAGTCACTTTTGGGCGTTGGATAAACGCACTCGCCCCCTCCCTCTCCGCATGCCCAGCGCCCACGCCCCCTCTGAATCCTGTTTTTCGAAGGGAAAATAAGATTCCG